CAACCTCATTTTAGCATGATTACATAGGCAAAGACCCTATTTCCAAACACAGTCATAATCACGTGCCAGGGGTTGGGATTCAACACTTCTCTTTAGGGAACATCATTCAACCCATAATACCAAGAAGCAGCTTTAAGAATGTGTGTGGAATGCTGCAGAGAGACCCTGGGAGGGGCATAGGGCAAGACAGCRGTCAGGTAGCAAGAAGTACGTCCAGTCCGTGAACTCTCAGGAGCCATTTTAAGTACGGTTTGAATATTACCAGCAAATCTGTAATGAATTCTACAATGCATTGTTAAGTGAGAAAAAGCAGAATATAGAGAAGTCTCATAATTACACTCTCATTTTTAAAAATAAATAAATATCTCCTGGGTAAGAAAAGAAGTAACCAAAAAACAATGTTTAGAGTGCCCACCACCAAAATATCATATAATGTGTGTCATGTGCTTAAAACTCTGAGCACATGCATGTGTGTGTGTGTGTGTGTGTGTGAGAGAGAGTGGGTGTGAGTGTGTATATGTGAGTGTGTGTGTGCATGTGTGAGTGTGTGAGAGAGTTGTGTGTTTGTGTGTGTGCATACACACTGAAGGAAACTAATGATGCTTTATCTGGGTGATAGAACTTCAGATTTTTTTAATTTAATCTGAATTGATTAAATGTTTCAAAGTACTGTATTTTTTGGTTTTTATTGATTTTATTATTTKTTTATATACAGGACAACAGTGGAATGCATTACGATCCTTATTAYACATATAGAGCACAATTTTCTGTATCCCTGTATATAAAGTAAGTTCAYGACAAAGTACTGTATTTTAATTTACCTTCTTTTACAGTAAATGACACTCAACTCTTTATCACTTATTTCCTGGTGATCCTTGAGTTAACATTCATCTAAATAACTTAGGATGACTGTCACTTTAACTTATCTACAACTTCAAACACCTAATGGCCTGGGTGCACACATCTCATTAACATATATTTAAATTTTATTTCCTCAAGATGAGAACCCTTTGGGGATGTTTTAACATTTGCTATGATCCAAGATTTGAGCTCATTCTTATCAAAACAATTGCCTTCTCTAACTGTTTTGATATCTGTGGAGTAGGTACACTCTCAGAGATGGCATTAGCTCTAGGTGCATCATGAAATTTAAAAGGGGGTTTGGTGAATGAATGAAGTCTTGCCTAAATATATATGCTTATTCCAGATTCTCATAAGGTATAATATCTCATCTCTTTAAGTACATCTCAGTTCTCGCTCAGCCATTTCCAGCATGCGTGACCTTACACAAGCTCTCAAGTGTCCCCTGCCCCAGCCCCACTCTGTCAAGTAAGGATGGTATCCACCTCCCGGATACTCACAGATACTCTGTGAGTCAGATTCTGACTCACAGAAGGTGCAGAATCAATGTTACGAATAAAACAAACAAGAAACACAGTAGCCTGACTAACCCTAACCAGCAGCTGAGCTCACAAGAGTCTATGGTGGTAAGGCTTTATGTTCCTGTGCTGGCAAGATCCAGGAACTGCAACCTAGATGCCAATCAACAGATAAATGGATGAAGAAATTGGGGTATGTATACACAAAGTACTTACACAAATTACTCAGCCATAAAGAAGTATGACTTTATGGCATTTGTCAGTAAATGAATGGATCTGGAGACTACCATGCTAAGTAAAATAAGCCTATCCCAAAAAAAACAAAGGTCAAAAGTTTTCTCTGATATGTGGAAGCTAACCCACAATAAGGCAGTGGTGGGGGAGGAGGGAGAAGAATAGAAGAACGGATTAGACAAAGGGGAATGAAGAGGAGGAGGGATGGAAACAGGGAAGACAGTGGAAAGACACTGACATGGCTCCCCTCATATATGAATACACCACAGTAAGTCTCAACATTGAGTACATCCACAAGACTGGGGTCCTAACGAGAATGAGATACATTTCATGAATGTATAATTTTATCAGAATGGACTATACTGTCAATATATAGCTAAAAAGAATCAATTAAAATTTTTTAAAAAATAAGAAAGGAGAAAAGCAGAATCAATGATTTAAAAAATATATATACCCAGGCACTGAGTCTCCAAACTGTAGACTTGAAAGGGATCCCCCCAAGTGAGGCCCACATGTCTTCCACGCTACTCCCACCAGAGCCCTCCAACTCAAATTCCTACTCACACAGGAGAATGCTACCGCATCTGAACAGTGCAGATGACCCAATACTCTAGTGCATTATAAATATTTGCAACTCTATTTCTCTATTTGCAAGAAATTCCTTCCATAGGCTGGGGATATAGCTTAGTTGGTAGAGTGCTTACCTTGCATCCACAAAGGCCCTGGGTTTAATCCCCAGCAGCAGCACCACCATCACCCCMAAAAAAAAGAAAGGCAGAAATTCCTTCCAAACCAAAGTGGTAAAAATGTCAAGTACCCCAGAAAACAAAGGGATGTTCTGGTTAGGATCATGAATATATTTCCAAATATTTGGACATATGTTCTATTGAGACTAAAAGGTTGGGGACAGGGAAGAACAATCAAAGTCTTCAATAATCAGGGCTTTTTTATACTTCTATGTTAAGACAGGACCATTTACAGGCTACAGGAAGAACCTGCATCTTTATCAAACATGCAATCAACATGCAATCCACTGTTGGCCAAGTTCAGACTGCTGCTTGATGTTAAGGTACCTCATTCAAACAATCATTTGCCCATTTTTAAAGCTTTTAAGAATGCACAACACTTGGCCAGAAGCAAATTATGGAATTCTCTTAAATCATAAATTATACACTAATCAATGCACCAATTGAGGTGGTGGGGCTTTTGTTTTTCCTCTGTCTGGCTGATTGATCCCTTCTGCCCAACCTCTGATTTCAATCTGCAGTTCCAAGATGACAGACACACAAGGCCAAGGCCTTGGGGCCATGACACCACACCCAGAAGTTTGTCTTTGTCTCCACCTAATGGTCGCTCTGTGTTATTACAAGCACTTGAGCCACTGACCACCACTCCCGCAGGCTGGAAAGGGTGAAGAAAACATTGCTAAGGCCGCCCCAGGATCCTTTGCAGGCAGTACAATTCCTTTTCTTCCTGTACCCCTCACATTTAGTCAAGAAAACTAAGAACAAACCACCCCTAATGCATGTCCTATATCCTTGCCCCGAAGGAAGATTCCAGTCAAAAAAAAAACAGAGGAACTGGGAGGGGGACCAGCCTACAGAAAGGGTCACATATGGATCTAGCTAGGGAACACGCACTGGAGATTTTGTGGTGTTGCTTTTCTAATTTAAAAAAAATTACTTTGAACACTCAGGCGTCCTTTATACTAACAAATCAAATGCCAAACTTCCTCTGGGAGGTTTCAATTATAATAAAATTATTCCATTTCTCTGTATTTCATTCTTTTCTCCTTTTTTTTTTTTCAAAGTGATGCTCACTGAGGCTTTGAATTTCTTCTGCATATCCACAATGCTGCTCAGGTTCTAGAAACTTCCTATCTAGAGAAAGCAGGCAGATTCTGAACAATATTTTGAGATCAAACAAGTCATATTTGCAGTGCTCCTCACTGTACCCCTAGATCCACTGACCACTGCAGGTTAGCATGGTGGGCAAGACCAAAATGAGAAAAGACTTGAGGCTCTTCTTGGTTTATTACTGACCTAAATGATTCTGCCTTTCAATAACACTTTAAGGAAAAATGAAGTGTGAATAAATTTTTTTAAAAAAACTCTCCTAGAAAGTTAATTTTCTGACTTACAGGCAACAATATAAGAAAAATTCAGTTTAAATAAGTGGCATGGTTTGTTATCTTTACTTACTATTGGCATAAATACTTATTTTTACTTAAAAATATAAGAACTAAGAGGGAAATTGGCACCAAGCCAAATCTAGTCCATCCTACTTCACCATGACAGAGCTAAAAGTCAATCCATGCAACAAGAAGCTCAAGAAACTTTTGTTTATGGAGTTGTTATTTAAAAACATATGCAATTTTTCTCATGACCTTAAATTAAATATATATATATATATATATATATATATATATGCAGACTTTTTAAACAGGAAATACTTTAGTGCGATGAAATAAAATAGAATTTAATTTTAATTCTATTACTTTCCATATCACTGTAGTCTTTCACCTTATTTTTAGCAAAAGAAGAAATGTTTTTAAAGCAGTCAATTTCAACAATTTGAACAAAATAACCTTAATTCTCTTCCAAACGTCTCGTTACTAGGGTAACAAGCAAAGAGCTGTTTTCCTGAGTCCCTGAGATCCACATGACTTCTGTAACCATGCAGTACATTCCCAAATGACACCTAAGATCCAGCGGCAAGATCCACAGGCAGGTTCGAAAGGGAAACGTTTCTGGCCACTCAAGAGAAACTGCCACCGCGATCACGAGATAGGGAAATAGCTCAGCCAGGAGACCCTGCTCTGCTGACGTACAGTAGCAACGTGTGCTGAAAGAAAAATTCAGGGCACAGGGCAYGTGCAAAGAGGAGGGGCTCATCACAATCCTAGAAGAAAGAAAAGTGTCCACAGTGACCTAAGGTGGGCAGGTGAACAGAGAAATGCCATCCAACCTACCTGCTGCACAGTCACAGGGGCCAGACCAGCTGTTGGAACACACACATCTTGCGGTGGGAGGCTAAACTACAGGACAGGCTCCCCTGGAGGCAGCCCTGGCTGCAAATCAGCGGACAGCAGGAGAAACAGAAGCAGCTGTTCCCTGCAGCTCAGAAACGTGCACGACTTGGTCCCTACAATCATCCCCACACATATCAATGAGACAGACAAGCTTCAAAGACAATGCACCCAGCAGTTTGTACAACCCAAGATATGATGTAACAAAATAATCAGTGCAGTTTGAAAACATGGACCAAATAATCAATGCAACAAAAAAAACCTTCATCCCAGTGCAGACAGGATTTAGGCTCAGTAACAGACACACTAAATTCAAGCACCCACAGGAGGACTGCGAATAAAGGAAAAACAGGCTGAGATGTTGGCTATCAATCTTTATTTATGACAGTTCTCTGGGAAGCCTTGCATTTTCAAAGCTAATCTCAGATAGTAGCGTAGGCCACGTACAACAAAATCTTCTGCTGGAACACAAAGAGAAGTTAGTTCTAGTCCCTAAAATCATTTTTTTTTCAGAGTATTAATAAGAAGGTCTATTCATGCATGCAGAAAAAGTTAAGCCAAGGCCAAGAACATCAGGCAAAGCACATGAAAGTATGCATACATCATCTTCACATTTAATTCCATATTGATATGATTAAGTAGATACTCATGTACATCAACCATGTCAGAAGTAGAAATCCTCCACGAACCCCAGGCATCCTGGGACAGGTATGCTAGCTTTGGGCCAAAACACTTCATGGGGTTTATGGGGAGACATTTGAAATGTTGCTTCTCGGTGTGGGTTTTCTAAAAGAAAAGAGAAATATCAGGGAGAAGACTGTTAAAGAGACAGAGAGTGTTTACCACCACCTTCATTATACAAAACACAGTAAAAAAAAAAAAAAAAAAAAAAAAAAAAAGTATTGCCTTCATTCTATAAACCAACACTTGGCATTTGTTCCCCAGCACAAGAAGAGGAAAATAAGTTTTGCTCATGGAAAATCAAGCCCAGGCTTCTATCCTCTCTCTGAGGAACCCTCTATATCACACCGTATGCAAGACAAGGTCTCCAATTAGTTTCCCCAAGTGTTCAGGGAAAACAGAGAGATTGAATTTAGAGCCTGATCCTGTAATTTACTCATTGCTATGCTTATCCAAAATTCAACTCTTCAAATAAAATATAAACTACCTGGCTGGGCACAGCGTCATGCCTCTATAATCCCAGCTACTCAGGAGGCCGAGGCAGGAGGACCACATGCTCAAGGCCAGCCTTCACAACTTGGCAAGCTACTCTCATCAGCTCTAAGATGCCCTAAAAATATTTTTTTTWAAAAATTAACTTCTTACTTGCAAGAAAATTAGGATGAAATCAAAAAAATAAAAAAGGACTGGGGATGTACTTCCATGATACAGAGCCCCTGAAATTAATCTCCAGTACCAGAAAAAAGAAATTATGTGTACACATATATATATGTATATATACATGTGTATATATATATATATGTGTGTGTGTATATATATATATAATATATATATATATATATATATTATATATATATATATATATAATGCCTGGACTATCTGTGAGTTATGAAACATGTTTTTTCTAAAGCCAAATGGCTTGCAGAATGCCTGATAGCATCACCATGTCACATTTTAAGAAACGTGATGGAATCTGCCTGGATTCCGGGGTGAAGTTTAGGGTGCTTCCAGGTTCACGTCTTCCCTTCCAGGTAGTTCGATCTCACAAAAGACTGCTGTGGGCCAGATTCCAAACCAGCACCCATCAGAGGAACAGGCAAACTGTGCTAGACACAGCTGCAGTTACTTTTTTTTTTTTTTTTTTGAATTGGCCTATAAAACCATCTGTCTGCACTAAGGATTCTCTCAGCAGCGCCACTTCACATTCAGTATCTTTTACAACAATCACAGTAAAATTGCATAATTTTTAAAGACCTTTACAAGCAGAGGGGATGCAGTGGGTTCTCACAGCACTTGTGAGCCCCCTGCCGTGGATTTTGCTTCTGGTAGAAGACCCCAGCACACTTTCATTTCCTACCACTCTGAAGGTAGAATTTCATAAACTTACCACTTTACTTTTTTTTTTTTTTCAAAACTGGATCCCATTTCATTCCTTAGAAATTGAATCACTACCGATAAAAAAGCCAATTAGTTGTCCTTAAAGAAGAGACCTGTATGTCCCCAATATGAAAGAAGTCAGCTGGGGGAAACTTCAACCCCAGACTAGATTCGGTGTGTAGTTTAAGTGGATTATAAAATTTTAATGGTCCAATAAGAGACTGTGACAGCTATGCTCACCAGCTCCAAGATGCCCTAAAAATATGTGTTTTTTAAATTAACTTCTTACTTGCAGGCCCACCTTGTGCACAGTGGTCACACAGAGCATTGCTGTGTGTCCTCAATATTTACAGAGCGCAGAATCCCACTTCATTCCACAGGAAGCCCCCATGCGCCTGCCCCCAGGAGTGCCAAGTTTTACCACAGCCCTTGCTGAAGACCTACTGTGTGCTTGCTGTCATGTCCTTCCTCAGCTGCTCTGTTCAAACACTTGTCTCAGATTTTTCAATACAGGTATAATAAGGACAGGAAGGAAATTTTAAAAAAATTTGTTATTTTAATTTTTAAAACCCGGACAGCACCAGAATGAAACTGCCCTAGATAAACCGCTGCCTCGAATTCTGCCCTAAAATCAATGACATCATTAACAACCCAACTTTAGGTAGGGGCCTGCCAGGTGTGCGCGCTCCCAGATGCCTTCCCAGGATTCCCGTGCCACTGTCCGGTCTCAGCCACCCCCAGCCCCAGTCCTCCAGGCCCTCGCCACTAGACGCCTTCGTCACCCACCCGGTAGGTAAGATCGGCATGGTCACTTCTCTCTGTGCTCACGGGAGGTCTGGAGCTGGGAGGCAGGGCAAGCTTGTCCCTGGCACCTAGTGGCGCGCCACCCTCCCCCTCCAGCTTCCCGTGGGTGCTGAGGGCTAACAAGGGGAAACACCGCATCAAGCACCCAAGACTGCGGGTGCAGCAGCCGTGTGTACTGTTCGTGAATCAACAGCCAGCGTCCACTTTCTAAGGTCATAATTTACTGCCACCGTTATGAGCATCAACCTCCCAGAGACACAGAGTGCTGACCTGCAKGGGCGTGGGCGCCAGAACCCAGGCAGCACTGGCCCTGGGCCGCCTGGCGCGCGTGGAGGCAGAGAGGCCCCCTGGAGGCAGAGAGGCCCCGTGGAGGCAGAGAGGCCGGTGGAGGCAGAGAGGCGTGTGCACACCGCTCTGCCCCGCGTCCTCCTACCAATCCCAGCTGCGTGCCCAGAGGCAGACGGGCAGAGCGCCAGCCCCACAGGTGCAGAAGGACCTTGCAGAGGATGGCTTTGGGCTGGGACCCACGCCCCTCCTGTCACCCCTGAGATGTGCGGATGCCTCTGACAGGCCAGGACTCCGGAGCTACCTGGGAGAGTCGAGGAACTAGGCAGGAAAAGGCCTAAGAGTCTTCTTCTTCTCCGGGCTCCTCTTCTCCCGCCTCAGCTTCCTCTTCCTCTGCTTCCCCTTCTGCTCCCTCCTTCGTTACGTCTGCGGCCTTATTTCAACAAAAATCATGTTATTACTGAGAAGCATTAGGGACCAAGACAACAATGAAAAAGGTAAGGCAAAATCTTAAGCTGGCATTGTGGGTTTCCCAATGACACAGACACTCGCACCCATCACATACACACACACACAACACACACWCACACACCACACACACACACAAACCACACACACTGCCTGCGAAAACACACTGAAATATCATTCTTGTAAACACAGACTCCTTAATTTGCAGAAAAGTACATTGCTCTAATGGGGTTGTGATTTCTCTCAAGCCCATGTAGACATCTGTCTCATCAAATTGCTTTAAAAACTCAGAAAGGCTACAGTTGGAAGAATAAAATACAAGAATTTCAGAAAATAGAACTTTGTCAGAAAGGACTGGTTATATTTTGTTATAACATGCTAATTTCTTTAACCCAAAGCTACCAACAGCCTACACATATATAAGACCTAGAATTATTCTAAGTTAATGGGATGGTTTTTGTCTTGTTATTAGATATCAAAAATAGGATTTTCAAAAACAAGCTTGCCTAGCAAGAGAGATACAAAAGAATAATTATTGGAAAGATATAAATAATGAAAAATCATGGTGTAAAATAAGCTAGAAATAATCTTTAGGTCCAAAAATAGGGTTATCTTTGATATATTAAAAATAATAATGAATCAGCTTTATCTTTATTGCCTCTGCAAAATACAGATATTGAAAAAGTAGATTACAAACAACCAATATTTGATAGTTATGTATGTGCGTGTGCATGTGTTTGTGTGTGTGTGGCTAGTGGTTATTTCTAAGTAATGGAACTATAAGCTTTTTTTATTGCCTCCCTTTATCTGTATTTCCTAAATTTTCTATAAAGATTGTAAATTATTTTGTAGTTTCAAAAACCAACAAAAGATTGTTTTTTGGTTTTTTTTTGGGGGGGGGGGATTTCTTCTGCCATTTGAGACTGTCTTTAATGTTGGTGACCTGCACTGAAACACCTAGACAACACACGTGCCTTTTGTGAATCATTCTCTCTACCCTTGAGTTTGCAATTTTAATGTAGTTCTCTGATTAGCACTTTAAAATGATTAATCCTTAAGTGTCCAAGAATAATGTCCTTAAAACTCTTGATTAAAACCTAAGTAGCTGAGACTTGGGAAATAACGGGGAATGGTGTAAGAGAAGGGAGAATCTGAGCATGTCACTTCGTACCTAACAAGGCAGTTCTCCAAACTGATTCGTCCAGATGTCAACTGTTATGTGCCGGTRACATTAGTGTTTAAACTTCCACATTCCAGATTCCAGGTCACAAATTGCAGCTTCAGCAAGCAGGCGCTGAGGAAGAATTGTGGTGCCTCCTCCTCTAATCAGGTGCATCCCCTCCACATTCATCAGTGACATAAAACAGCATCACCACGATGCTTCCCCCTCCCCCCGCCCCCCCCCCCAGGGCCTAGGAGGATGTGCAACAAAATCTCTCAATGAGGAAAAAAATCTCTTGGGAGGTTTCAACAAAGCAGGAACAGATGGGAAGAGAGGATTCCCATGGGAAAACTTAAAACTGAATTTAGAGCTAATGAAGAGTTGGGTTGGGTTGGGTTTTTGTTTTGTTTTGTTTTGTTTTGTTTGTTTACCAACCATAAGCTCCTAATATAAAATAAATGTTATAGTCTGTGAAAGTAAATGAACTTTTAACAGCAGGAACTCTAGTAATTAACTTCAACTTGACCACACATCAAGTTATATAGGACAAATGATCTCAACCCAGTGGCTCTCCATCTTGCTTGGGCATGAAGATCACCTCCAGGGCTGGCTAGAACACTGCTCCACCTCAGTGCCTGACCCAGTAGATCTGGGGTAGGGCCTGAAAGTGTACACACTGGTCCCCTCTGATCTGCAGGCAGTGCTCCCAGACCCTGGTGGGTGTGTGCAACCTCAGGTAGCAGCCAGTCCTGTATTCACTGTTCAGTGCCTTTCTGTCTTAGCTCATCATTTGCTATGGCTGTAACTTTTGCAGCTTGATGTGTGGCCACAAAGCTAGATTAATTTTTCTTTCCTTGTTCACAATTCACAGATAGAAAGTTTTGTTCCTCCAGCAGAGCTTAGTAACCTAGGCATATGATTTTTTTCTTTCCTTATTAAGTCAAGAACTTTCACATTTTCACTTAAGCACTTTATGATTGCTCTTTGGCATAAACAAATTGCTAGCCTCATTATTCTTAAGCTTTGGAGACATTATAAAATAAAATAAGGGTCTCTTGAACACAAGCACCGAAGTACCTTAACAGTTGATGTAACCAAGATGACTACTAAGTGACTGTCAGGGAGGTAAGATACACATTGTGGATGCACCAGACAAACATAAGATTCATAAGAAAGATAGCACAAGATTTTATCAACTCACTCAGAATAGTACACAATTTAAAACTTGTGAATTGTTTGTTTCTGGAATTTTCCATGTAGTATTTTTTGGACTGCAGTGACAATGGATAACTGAAACTAAAGAGATTGAAACTCTGGACAAAGTCAACCATTGCATTTCTAAAGGTGCTGTTGCTGGTCTGGGGTCCCCATTTTGAGAACCTCTGCTATGGTTTGTATTCTCTAAAATAACATGTGAGCAGAGAACAATAACATTCATTCTAGTAGAGTTAGCACCAACATCAACCAAACCTGCATTTACCTGAATTGGTCATTTGTTCCCACATTTGTGTGTACAATTTATAACCTTATCATAATTCAATAACTTCAGCAATAATATGGAAATTAATTAAATAGGAGCAGGGAAAGAACTTTTTTTATGTGGACTGAATGGAATACTTTGGAAAGACTCAATACATGTAAATCACCTTTAAAATCTGTCATTTTAGGCACTAATAAAGCCTGGAGTGGCAGGAAGTAATCATAAAATCTTTGTGAACATAAATGGCTTTGCACACAGCTTTAAGTTTCTGCTGTATTTTAAAGAAACTGAAACTAGAATTCCCTGAGAGACCAATGAATATGATTATGTTAGAAATACAATAGGACCTGCTAATCTCTGCATTCTTATTTAAAGAAAAAAAGTCCTTGTTCTAATTGGTAAACAATTGGTGAATTGTGCCGTAAATACACACATACAAATGTATATCTCTGATTAAAGTCAGTGTTTATGGCCTCCATGTTTTTGACATTTCTACTCTAATTCCTCAGTTGGACAACCTCCAACCCCAGACATGGACCGGGAAGTTCTCCTCTGTGCCTGGGATGTGGTTGTGGCTCCCCTCTACAAACAAGAATGTGCAATCACATGTCACAGAAGACAGACGTCCTTATACAGTTTGCCCTTAATGGCTTTCAAATATTGCCTTATCATTTTTCTTTCAATGTTTCCATTGCACTTGACAGCTCTATCCTCAGTACTCCTGATTTTTCATACTTTCTCCTTATTTTATACAATTGTTAATCTTCTCTCTTTGTGAAACTTTATTCTCTTCTATTTTAGTTGTTCTTTAGGCGGTGTCCTAAAGCATGACATTAGGGTTTCCAAGTGACACAATGTCCAGACACTTGATGATAAACAGCTGTTTAAAATTGCAGGTCAAGATAACTCAGACAGAGACCTGCAGTATAAATACTAAAATCAAGACTCAACATTATGTGCCCCCTTGACATCGGGTGAAGGCAAGACAGCTCAAAGGACCTCAGCATTCGTCCCCGCCACACACTCACTCTGCTCCTGCAGACTTCATAAATAAGGGGACGTACTCTTCTGCTGCAGTCTCTCCCTCTTCTTCCTTAGGTCCATGAATTAACAGCCTGGATTAACAGCCCCGCACACCAGGGCCAGGTGCAGTGCCTGCCTACCCTCTGGCATTAGTCAACACACCAACTCCGACCTCCTGTGGCACCCACACCTTAGACACCGGAAAGCTAACTCCCAGGGCCTGCTCATCTGCACTACTCCCAAGCCTGGCCCTGCACTGCCTGTGTCCTCTCCTCCAGTATGTGTGGGCACCTGGCTAACAGACGCCCACTGCAGGGTCCAGTGCCTGCTGTCACACGTCCATCCCCATAGCACAGGGCAGGAAGCCCTCCCGCCTCAACAGGATGAACAGGAGGCCATTCACACCACCACCGGCACTGGGCAAGCTGCATGCACCACGCTGTCCAACAGGGTGGGAAAGGACAAGATGAGAACGACTCTCCGCCCAGCGCCCTGGCCCGGCCCAGCCTGACCTCTGGACCTCTCATGGAGGCTAGAGAGGTTCCTCGGGCAGGTCCTGTTTCTCAGTCCACCTCCCTCATGTGAATTCACCTCCAACCTACTTCCCTTCTCAGCAGGTCACCAGTGGCTTTTCTGACTGTGTGGGTTACACCGTCTCCCTTATTTATGAAGAACAAGGGGACAGTGGCTAGAGCTTCGACTCTGTCACCTAAAAATGTTTGTATCAAGCTGATGACACACAACTGTTGAAGGTGATGGACATACCTCTTCTGCTGCGGTCTCTCCCTCTTCTTCCTTAGGTCCGTGAATCAAAGTGAAGGAAAAAATATAAATTCAAGTAAGTTTTAAGTTGAATCTCAAAATTGGGCAAATTGTATTAAAATAGAAGCCCATCAAAATGAGCAACATATTCATTAATTCATGAAATATGTAAGCAGTAAAGGCATGTACACTGGGAGATCTCTACTGATTTCAGGTCATATTTCAAATTATTGAAACATTATGAGCTTAAAGATATTTTTCCATTAATCAAACTCCTTGACAAAACACAATGGAGTAGTGGTGCTGCTTACTAAAACGTACAGTTCTGTCTGCAGAACTCCTACAGAAGCACAGCAGCGACTGCAGAGCTAGTTGGTAAATTCAAATCATATATGCAAGTGACCTAAAAATTTTAACAAAAATATGTCTCTTCTGCCTTCTGCCCTTACAAGTATGCTTTTGTTTCAGTTTGAACTGATGAATAAAAGCAGACCAAAAACTTTTTCTCTATAAGAACAAAATGATAGCATTTCTGAACCATTTAGTATTTAAACACTGATTTCCGGTTGAAGAAACTTGCGAGGAAAGAGAAGGTGGGATCACCAAAGACTCAGGCCCAACCTCACCAGCCCTTCTCTGGACAGATGAGGGTCCTGAGGCCACAGAGTCATTACCAAAGTCACAGGACAAGTAAGTGGCATGATCGGGAGCCACTCCAGGTCTCCTGATTACTAATGTAGTGTCCTCCTCTTCTACCAGGCAGCCTCTCGGGGCCAGTAACAGAAAGAGCAAAATCACAGAGGGCAACTTATAGAGTATCCAGGACACTGCCACATCGGCTGGGCCAGCCTCACGTTTGGGGCCAGTTCCAGAACAGACCTCCAGATCTCAGGGAGCGGCAGAGAACGCTAGCACCTGACACAGCGGCCAAAGCTGAGTCAGACAAGAGGATGGCTCAGCACCGGGGATCTCCACACCAGCCTCTATGTTAAGCACCCGTGGTGACATGTCAAGTGTCATGTCCAGGAATAGAGTCCAGCGTCTGTTGAGACACCCAGGCGCTGCCGTCAGGGCCTTTGTGGGTTGCAGCCCTTGATGCCGCCCACTCCTGCTGGTGCCTCRTCCCTCCTGCCAGGTCTGCCAGCTTTGCTCACCTGGCTGCTGACAGGAGCCCCTGAGTGACCCCCAACCCTCGGCCGGTCATCCTCATATCCATCTGTTCTCCACACTGTGGCCACAGAGTTGGTCCAGACAACAAACCTCCTCTGGGGCCTCATGTTTGGCAATGTGCTTCACAAGAGGATCCAGATAGCTTAGAAGAAGTCCTCTGCCCCTGGCTCCCCCTCCAGCCTCCCCCTCCAGTCTCCCCCTCCAGCCTCCCCCTCCAGTCTCCCCCTCCACCTCGCCCCTCCACCTCACCACTCCCTACTCTCCCTTTCAGCCATACTTTCTCACATGCCCCCCAACAGGACACTGCTCAAAATGACCCTTGCAAGGCAGACTTTCCAGCCTGAGACTGAGTTAGGGACCCTCTTATCAGCTCCCACAAACACCATTTACTCATCTGTCTCCTGGTGGTCTGCAAGCCCCTGGGTCATGACCTGTGTCTGTTCATTTTTGGACCTCCAGTGCCCGCCACTGTCTGGAACCAAGAGAAAGCCCCCTCAGTGTGAGTAAAGTGACTGGCACGGTTCCTCGGCCATTAACTCTTGGCTCTCAAAGCACAGTCATTTTCTTCTTGTCTATAGAGGACCAAAGTTCCAGTTTAACCTGACCTGGTTAAAAAAAACTTTTAAGGGAAGAGAGGACAGGGTCACCAAAAATTCAATCAGGCCCAGCCTCACCAGCAGCACAGAACTATTGATTATTGTAGAGCTTTACAATTTCCTAAATCCAGTTATTTTTATTAACTGCATCCAGCTGAAACAATCTATTATTAAAAGTAGGGGTACCCTTAGAACTGGCTGGGGGGCAGTCAGGATCCTATAGGAATAACTACTAGTCTCAGCTGTTAAGGTAAAGTAGCAGCAATGATAGGGACCTGGCACTCTATACCAATATCTAAATTCAGCTTTATTTCTTGAAAATGAGAAAGGAACTGATCACAGAACTGATAGAAATAGCTTCAAAAGGTCAAGTGAGCTGTAAAGGGCTTTGGATGTTCTCATCTCAGGCTCTGCCAGAGCAGACGCTGGTGGGGGCAGGGCTCTGCTGTCTCACCGCCCCTCCGCCCCCGGAGTTCTGCTTAGCCTGGGACTGCACCACTCCATCTGGTCAGCTCACAGAACGTGGAGTGGGGGCTGGCCGTGGGCTCCTGGAGAGCCCAGCAATCACAAACCCTGGGTCCCGTCTCCAGTCCCCCCACACAAAAAATGTGTTGAATGAATGCATGTATGCGTTGCCATTCCTACCTCTGACCGCCTAGGATGAGGTGGGATATATTAATTTAAAAAATAAAAATAACCAACGACTAGCCTCAGCTCACAAAATTAGAAAATATCAGAATTCAGCGGATGGTTCTCTGTGGTCAAGGCATGAACTGACCTTTATGGTTGGCAAATAACTATACTGACAACAGCATTTTTTAAAAGAGAACTGTAATGACCAGGTCAATTAAGCCAACCTCGGAAGAGCTGGAGTCTCTGTGAGCCGTTAATGTGGGAAGCACACCACAGAAACGGCACCTCGTTGTTCTGAGAAGGCCTCCGGGGAGCCTCGGGAGAGGGACGTCTCGGGACCTTCCTCCTGAAGCAGCTATTTTTGCTGGGAACCTGGCCAGGGACCAGGCTGCTGGTGGCGGGTAGCCAGACGGAGGCCAGGTGTCAGTGGTGGTGAGTGTCAGGAAGAGGTGGGGAGGAGGGAGCAGGCCTGAGGAGGCAGCCGGGTTCAGAGGGCCAGGAGGGGCCCAGCCTCAGGCCGGGGAGCCTCTGGGGGTGGCAAAGAATGAACCTCCAAATAATGTGACCTTACAATAAAATAATTTCACCTTGATAAATGCCAAACCCAAATGTGGACAAGTTACTACATTCCCCACATTTTAGAAAGTTCTCATGATGCCCCCCTGAAATTCTAGAGGGAAGCTCACCCGAGGCCCGMACCCTGCCCCAGCTCCACTAGGCTCCACCTGCAGCCATGGCCACCCAAGTCACATGTCCTGAACTCCTCAAATAAGTGTACCATGTGGTTCCCCATTATCTGCTCTAAGCCCCCACCCCCACTCCCCATCCCATTAGCTCTGACAAGGAAACCTGTGCCTTGGATTTGCTGGGACCTTCTATTCCCTTGATTGGACTGAATTGAGTTTCAGCTTTCTCCCAAGGCCCCCTTTTATTCTCAAGTTCCTCGAAGTACCCCACAAATGCACCCCACCTTGGCTCTTGAGGAGATATATAGTAGGAGCAGGAGCTAAGGATGTTCATTTGACCAAGGACAGGATCCAAACCACCCTCACAACACAACCCGGGATCAAAGCCTTGACCGGCTGGCGACCTCCAGGCCTGCTGCAGGGTCCTTCTCAGCCACTCCGAACCTGGTCCCCAGTGGCCAGCACTGGAATGAAAATGGCCTGCTTCCTCCCAGCTCCACGCTCAGCTCTGCACTAGCCACTGTGTTCCCAGAGTGCAGCACAATTCCTGCTCCAGGCAGAGCCCAGTAAGAAAAGGACAGCACTGAATCCAAAGACAGACCCACAAAGAGGCAAGTCCTCACCTTCTCCGGGGACTCGGGGAGCTCGCCCGCACCTTCAGCGCCCTCTCCTTGTGCCTCGCTTTCTCCGCCTTCTTCAGCCTTCTCTGTCCCCTGGTCATAAGAGAGGCCCAGCGTATCACTGATCTTAGGTAAGCACCTGAGGAAAATCCAGGCCACCCCCAATGCGGTTTTCTTATTTAAATCACAATACAGAAATGAAGCAGAGAGTCCTCCTAGTCAGGAGCTCACTTCGCTGCGAAAGCATGGCCTCACCGAACACCAACACTGCTGGCTGGGTCTGTGGGCAAAAGTCAATAGACTTATGGACGTTACAGTAATAAGCTGCCTGAGGGAGGAGTCTCAATTCACCGGTTTAAGGATCATGAAGATAACAGGTATACAGATGGATTGATATAAACAGGTGGACAGGTGGACAAGATGGAAAATGGATAGATGGATGGATGGATGGATGGATGAATGGACAGGTGGATGGACAGGTGGATGATATATATGATGGATGGATGGATAAATAGATGGGTGGATGATGGATAGATTGATATGATGGATGGATGGATGTACATATGTGATGGGTGGATAGATGATAGACAGGTAGACAGACACAGAGAAACATTAAGACCAAGCAGCCATTATGAAGACACTGGCATGGGAGAAGATGTTCCACATAACAGCCCAAGGCCTTACCTCTGCTGTGCTCTCTGCCTCTCCCACTACATCACCATTGGGAAGGGAAGACGCTTCCTCCGGTGATTTTGCCACCTGCATCATATAAATTGAGAACATTTCAGAATTTTCTTGAAGACTGTAACTTTCATTTCAATGTCTTTTAACTCTTTAAGTTATATTTATCTGCATCCTTCATTTTATTCACAGCGACGACACTATGTCCTGAGGACGTAGGCCACACCTGCTTCAGAGACCAGAAAATAAAGGCAGAAAATGTCATATCACAAGTTAGGGTCTACGCCTCCTCCTTGATGCTGAATTATGAAGTGGTTCCCAGCCTTTTGAAATATCAAGTTATTTTTATTACAAACACATTTGGAGCTCATAGAACAACAAGCCATATACATATCTGCCATTCCCACCCTCCTAAGAAACCTGTGTTCAGGGAAAGGGAGGAACTGCAGAATGAAATTGATAAAATCATGCTGCAAGCATATATGAATACGCCACAGTGAATTCCACCTGTGTGTATATCCTTAAGGCACCAATTTAAATAAACAAATAAACAAAAGGAACAGCAGGAGAGTCGAGGAAGGGAATCAGTGGGAGGGAAGAGGGAAGGGAAAGAGAAGGCCCTGGGGACTGAGCTGGAGTAAACTGACTTCCATGCCTGTGTGGCTGTGTCCAAATGAGCCCCACTGTTATGGGGAACTATAATGCACTAATAACAGTATTTTTAGATGAAAATTTCCTAAATTTGGTGAAAGATATACATTCACAGAATCAATAAGAATAAATACAGGGCTGGGGCTGGGGCTGAGGCTCGTGATAGAGTGCTTGCCTGGCATGCATGGGGCACTGGGTTCAATCCTCAGTACCCCATAAAAATAAAATAAAGGTATTGTGTCCACCTACAACTAAACACACACATACACACACACACACACACACACACACACACACACAAGAAAAAGAAATAAGTACATAGAAACCAGGTTTAGAATATCATAACCACATGGCTGCAAATGCAGGATAAATGGAAAGTCTTGAGAGCAGCAAGAGAAAACCACAAATGACGGCCAGGGAACAGGACTTCCAGTCATCAAGGCTCACCAGAAACTATGCAGACAGGAAGGTGGAAGGGAAAAAACATTTGTAAGGTGCTGTCAGGAAAATAAGTAACTGTAGACTAAGAATTCTGTGTCCTGTGAAAAAGCCCCTCAAGAATGAGAGCAAAACCAAGACAATCCAGGTAAAGACAGCCACGAGCTCGGGCGGCAGCCTGCTCCACAAGCAGGGCCACGGGGCTCAAGGACGCCATCAGGATGAAAGGAAACTCCCCTGTCTCAGCATCAGAAATGAAAAGCACCTGGGAAATAGAAACGCTTCTCTTTCCTCCTGCTTCCTTTAAAATACACAGGACTGCTTGATGCAAAAACACAATACCATTTAACAGAGGGGAAGGGAGGCGTCAATGGGCCACACAGTAAGATGGGGAGCAGTAAGTGGGCATCGCCGTGGCGGTGCTTCTTCCTGCTACCTGAAGTGTCATAATATTAACCTAACTAGGCTGTGAGACAGGATGAATTTATGTTATAACACCAGAGGAACCACCACAAGTGTGCCAAGCGGTATAGCTAGAAAGACAATGCACAAATTAAAAGGGAACTCTGAAATATAGCCAAATAACCCAAAAGAAATGACACAAAAAAAGTRAAATGGAGGAATATAACAAGGCACAAACAGGAAACTAAAATTAAGTGGCAAATCTAAACACAGTCACAACATCAGGTGTGGTGGTGCAAGCCTATCATCCCAGTGACTCGGGAGGCTGAAGCAGGAGGATAGCAAGTTCAAGGCCGGCCTCAGCAACTTTTCGAGACCCTTTCTCAAAATAAAACAGATGGGATGTAGCTCAGTGGTAGAGCACCCATGGGTTTAGTCCCAGTACTGCAAAAAATAAATAAATAAACAATCAAACACAACTRTGTCAATGATTATTGAAGTGCTCAAGGACCAAATATGCCAATTGTCAAAATGAATAAAAGTGCACAAAACCTAACCTCTGTTGTCTCCAGAAGACACGCTATGAAAACAAAGACACAGGTAGGTCAAAAGTATACAGATGGTGGGGCTGCTCAGTGGCAGAGCGCTTGCCTGGCATGTGTGAGGCTCTGGGTTTGATCCTCAGCACCACATAAAAATAAATAAATAAAATAAAAATGTGTGTTTATCTACAAGAAAAAAAGAAATTTAAAAAATATATATATAGATGGAAGAAATATGCCATGCAGGCAGTAAACCTAAGAAATCTGGAATAGCTTTACTAATGCACAATCCAGATAGAGACAATACTACAGAGACAAAGAGGCATATACCAAACATAAAAGAGCCAGTCCGTCAGGAAGCCATAAAAACCATAAATATTAATATGCAGAACAACAGGGCTTTAAAATACATGAAGTATAAATTGACAGGATTAAAGGGAGAAACAGAAAATGCACAGTCAGAGTCAGCGATCTTAACACCCTCTCGTCAATTGTAGAACAACAGTGTAAAAACTCCAAACTCTCTTTCCCCGCCTAGGAAATTTTAGCCTTTTCAGATGTATTAGAACAACTGATAGAGTTGGCCCAATTCCTCTGCTGCGGCCGTCTTCCCTTAGTGTTCCCTTTCCTCATTTCTACTTGTGTAAGTGTTTTCCCAGCTCTGCCCCAGCCTTGTGAACATAAATGTTCTGGAAGGCTTTTCTATCCCCGTGTTCTCCTCCTGTTCAAAATGGTCATCATTAAACTAATCCTGCATCCCAATCAAATATGGTCCCCACCGAGAGGCTTCACCTGCCCTCCCCAATTGAGATGAGCCCTCCAGGGCACCTACATCCCCTTTCGCTTCTGCTTTTCTGCAGTCCAAAAAACGACATCCTCAGTGTGAGTATCTCACAGATCTCACAGATCCCCTTCCAAAATTCTTGTATTTTTCTATTATGTCTTTTCATTTATAGAAGTAGTCTTGACATCGGCAAAGTACTAAATTCACTTGGGAGCTCCCTATGGGAGGTTTTCTCCTAATTGACCTTGGATGTGGCATTTCCTAGTTCTAACAGCTGCCCAGTGCTTCTAGGGTGCAGCCAGGTGGAGGCTAGCTGCCAGGATCTACCCTCCTCCCTGCTCCTCATGAGCGAGGTCAGCTCCCAAGGGCTGCTCTGCCCAGCAACAGGCACCTCTGTTGACCACTGCTGGGACCAACGGCAGGACGGAGGGGGATTGAGAGGGTTCCACTTCCAGGCTGCTCCAGATCAGTGCCCAGGCCCCTCCTGCAGCTGGGACGCACCTCCTGAGGACCTGCCAAACCCTCAGCACCACTCTGCCTTTGCCAGTGTCAAGAAGGACTCATCTCAGWTGAGTTGGGCAGTTGAAGCCTCTTGTTCTTCTGGAACTCCTACTAGTCACACAGCAGGTCCTGCACCTGGCTTGCAGACTCTGGCCTTTCACCATGATTCATCTCTCCTTGCTTTATGTCAAGTTGGATGTACTTCTCCTTCAGTTCTTCTTGGGCCATAACATGGGCCTTAAGGGCATCTGTGATCTGTTGCTCATCTACTATGGTTCAAATTAACAAATTCCAGAACACATTTTTGTGCTGCAAATCCATCTCTCTGATGGGTCTCACCCAGCGTTCACCGTTGTCTCCTGCTTCTGCCATTTGCACTGTCAGTCCAAGACATTTGAATGCTCTGGTTAGCATGGCTTTCTTTAGGTGCCTGGGAATCACTGTACTTATTTAGATATTTTGCCATTTGTCAAAACTGCTTTCGACAGGAGATCAATAATCATATCATAAACTAGTATTGAAACTTTTAATCACAAATCACTTTGRGCCATAAATCACATTGCCTCAAAATATCACTGTGTCCTTCTCATCAGATGGAGATGTGACCTCAGAGAGGGATTTGAAAGCTCTTGTGAGTGATAATGGTTCAGCTGTTGGGAACATTATTAGGACTTCGTGAGGTGGCTCCATGGGGACAGCACTTGCTGGAACATAAAAATGCTGAGACTGAGCCGTCACCCCACCAGCATCCTGTGAATGCCGTGCTTCAACATTGTTATGACTGCTTATCTCTGCCAGTGAGGGGAATCTAATTACACACAGACCTGGATGCTTTCCACTGCCATCTTGACAATGTTCCCCCGGTACAATAACACAGGAAGACACCCCCCCCCAGCACCGCTCTCCTAATATCAGGCACCCATGGTACAATTATCAGTCATAGTTACTCATTTTAAATGTTAACCAGGTCACAGGTCTTGTTCTTTMATTTGAATCTAGCATATCTCAGGACGGTGCTTTTCATTTGGGGAGCCCATTACCTACTTTTATTTTTTATTACACAGACATTCAGAGCCTGCTCCAGCCACACTGCATCTCATTATGACCTATTCCTTCCAAATGCTTGGTATCTTTGTGACACATTATGTCTCTGAGTAATTTGATATTTCCTTTGAGTTCATTCATTCTTAAGAAACTAGATACAGTGTTTGTGTGTTCTTTGAAAATAGGCTCAATGATTAGGTTCATAACTCATTTTTCTAAAACTTCTTTGGATTGACATCATTGTTTTGCTTTACATGCCACAGAGACAACCAAATTTTCTCATCTAGAGCATTATTCTTTTCTAACTCTAAAGTCTTTTCCTTTTAAAAATCATCAGTAATAGCCCTTCCACCAAGATGGCGCCGAAAGCTAAGAAGGAAGCTCCTGCCCCTCCGAAAGCTGAAGCCAAAGCAAAACCTTTGAAAGCCAAGAAAGCAGTGTTGAAGAGTGTCCACAGTCATAAAAAGAAGATCCGCACGTCACCTACCTTCCGGCGACCCAAGACATTGCGGCTCCGGAGGCAGCCCAAGTATCCTCGGAAGAGCACCCCCAGGAGAAACAAGCTTGACCACTATGCCATCATCAAATTCCCTCTGACCACCAAGTCAGCCATGAAGAAGACTGAAGACAACAACACACTTGTGTTTATTGTGGATGTCAAGGCAAACAAACACCAGATCAAACAAGCTATAAAGAAGCTCTATGACAAAGGGAGAGAGAAGGGAAATTGCATGGAAATGAAGGGAGAGCCTCATTGCTATACAAAATTACATATAAGAGGATGTGAGGGGAAAGGGAAAAAAAACAAGAGAGAGAAATGAATTACTGTAGATCGGGTAGAGAGAGAAGATGGGAGGGGAGAGGAGGGGAGGGGAGGGGGGATAGTAGAGGATAGGAAGGGCAGCAGAATACAACAGACACTAGTATGGCAGTATGTAAAAAAGTGGAAGTGTAACCGATGTGATTCTGCAATCTGTATACAGGGTAAAAATGGGAGTTCATAACCCACTTGAATCAAATGTATGAAATATGATATGTCAAGAGCTTTGTAATGTTTTGAACAACTAATAATAAATAAATAAATAAATAAATAAGAAGCTCTATGACATTGATGTGGCCAAGGTTAACACCCTGATCAGGCCTAATGGAGAGAAAAAGGCATATGTTCGACTGGCTCCTGATTATGATGCATTGGACGTCGCCAACAAAATTGGGATCATCTAAACAAAGTCCAGCTGTCTACTTCTAAATATAATTTCTTTTTTACAACATAAATAAATAATAAAAAATAAAAATAATCAGTAATAAATAAATCACACTCATTTTAAGTCTTTTATCATCTAAGATGTTTTCCTTAGCTTGTTTTACTTCGATRCTTCCCTGGAAGTTTTCTGTGATCGGCTACAGGTGCGAATGTTCCCTCTCCCAGGAAGAACAACAGCTCAGAGCACCGCAGGAAAGGATCAGGTGGCAGGTACTTGGATACAGGTTTGTGAGGGCATCACATAAAGAACATGGGGACCACACCAGAGGAAGCGTGACAAGCCCAGCACACTAAGAGCAGATGGGCCCCTGAGACCACTACCCCAAGACCCTGGGGAATAAGAATCAGTCAYTCAGGACTAAATGAAGCGATGACAAGTGAGAGGAGTTTTTGTTTGGAATATTGCTGGTGTTATTTTAATGCTCAATTTTCTGAATATGTAAATCAAAATGAAACATATGACATCTTATTCTCCCTGCCCAACCCTATGGAATTCAAAATTTTTTATTGACTCTACTTGTCGAATTGGAATACATTTTACTTTTTGTGGCAGTACAGTTATTTGCATAGCTTTAATAGGAATCTATTTTCCTGTTTGCCAGGGCATAACTCAAAACCCTGCTTATGCAACCAAGGCTCTTCCTGAAATAGCATATCAAGAAGCGTGTTCATTTGATCAGTTGTGAACAGACGCTTTTAAAGAATGGAGGTAGACTTTATGGAGCAAACACTAGCTTACAAAGCTTCCTGGGAATCCTTGCCTGGTACTTGACCTGGGGCAGCCTGCTGGAGACAAGGAGATTTTTTCTAAAAGCAATAATGCTGCTTACAACACTTTGTATCATTTTCTAGATATGTGTTTCTGCATAATTGTCAGGAGTTCCTCCATGTGGCCTAGCAAGATGATTTACCCTCACTGATTCTTCTCTACAGTGTGGTTTATGACAATATGACACTGGGACAAGCCATAGCATCTCCATAAATCAAGTGTCCGCCTTTCCAAGGGTACCTGAAGTACCTTCCCAAGTGAACACCTGTAACCCTGAGCCACGCTAACAGCAGCAAGTTCAGCACAGGCTGCGCTGTTATCATAGGGACATCTACAGACAAGTCACCTCCGCCCCTGTGCTTCATGATCCTCCTCTGAGGAAAGAAGAATCTGGACTAGACAGCCTCTGAGGTCCCTCTAGGCTGGGTTTTATCCTTTGGCCACCCCTTTCTTCCCTGTGAGGAGAATTCCATGAAATACCACGACTCCAAGTACAAATCAGGATGGGAGCAAACACTGAGATCACTGCAATAACATGGAACCAGGAAGCAGAGGCCATCATGTTAACTGAAATAAGCCAGGCACCGAAAGATGATGCCTTGTGATCTTACGCAGGAGAAATTTTTTAAAGTAGGTCTCATAGAAATTGAGAGTAGAACAATGGTTTCCAGATGCTGGGAAAAGGAGGAGTGAGGGAGGGACGGTCAGAGGTTGACCAATGGGAACTTAGTTACAGTCAGACAGGAGCAGGAAGTCCTGGGGTGCTGCTCACAGGAGGCTGGCTGTAGACGGTGATAACACACTGCACATTTCAAAAAGCCCCAAGAAGGGAGTTTGAACRTTCTCACCATAAAGAAATGACACATATGTTTAGCCTTATTTAAACATTACACGATGTATACATTGTACTGAAATATCACAGGGGCTGGGGCTGGGGCTCAGTGGTAGAGCGTTTGCCTCGCATGTGTGAGGCCCTGGGTTCAATCCTCAGCACCACATAAAAATAAATAAAGATATATTGTGTCCATTTACAACTAAAAAAAAAAGATTTAAAAAAAAAACCAGAAATATCACAGGGTATCCCATAAAAATTTGTCAGAGGTAAAAAAAGATATTAAAAGAAAATGGGAGGGGAGAGGCTAGGRCTATTGCTCAGTGGTAGAGTGCTTGCCTAGCACATGTGAGGCCCTGGGTTCAATCCTCAGCACTACATACAAATGAATAAATAGAAAAAAGGTATTTTTTWAAAATGGAGTATACAACCAGAGATAGGAAAAATTGTGCTCTATATGTGTAATATGAATGGTAATGCATTCTGCTGACATATATAACAAATTAAAGTTTTTAAAACTACTTTCCAGAAGAAAAAAAAGAAAATGGGATAAGATGAATCAYAGCAGAGAATGAAATGGATTTGCATGTATTAGCATGGATAGGTCTCAAAACATAGGCTGTTTTTTTAAAAAGGCAAGTTGCAATAAAACTGTCCTACCAACAACTTGAAGAATGGTGCTTGACAGCTCTGGAATGTTTCACTGACTTGGTTTGTCAGTCTTTGCCTCCAGTCTCAGAGTTGAGCCCCTGCTCTGAGTTGTGAACTGCAAGTGGCTCTGAGGGTGTAAACTCGGTCCCATATCCTGTGTCTTTCTCTAACAACGTCTACASTGCTATCTGAGTCGTAGGCTCTGCAAAACACAAACCACTCTGCACTGAGCTGTGTGAACAGAAGTTTGGGGAGTGGAAGGCCMGGTGCAGGACTGCTCCTGCCTCCTTCACTTGCCTGGCTCTGGTCTTCACCCACCTGAGACCCCAGGTTCTACCAAAAGCTCCTCATCCTACCCCGAGGAGGACCCCCCTGAATGGCCACATGCTCTTGGATCCCACTGTCTTCCAGGCCGTCTCTCTTCCCAGAGTGCCTTCACTGTCTCTCTGCCTACTTAGCTCCTGCTAGATCTTTAAGTATCAAGCAAAATTCAGACTCTTTTAAGATACTTTCTTAGTCCATTTCTTGTCACTATAACAGAATAGTGGAGACTTGGTRTTTTATAAAGGATGGAGACTTATTTTTTTTAATATTTATTTTTTAGTTATTGGCGGACACAACATCTTTGTTKGTATGTGGTGCTGAGAATCGAACCTGGGCCGCACGCATGCCAGGCGAGCGTGCTACCGCTTGAGCCACATCCCCAGCCCATGGAGACTTATTTGGGCTCAAAGTTTTAAAGGCTGGGAAGTCCAACAGCATGAAGTCAGCTGGGACCTCTGGCTGCTTCAACTCATGGCAGGAAGAGACAGGCAAGCAGACACATGCAGAAAGGAAAAAATGGGGTGGAAGTAGCTCCGTTTTATAACCCTGCCCTAAAGGTGGTTAATCCAGTGCCACAGGAATAAGAGCTCACTCTGAGAGAAAGGCATTTGTCCTTCTTAGCAATCTAATAGCGCCTTGCAGGCCCCACTCTCACACCACCACAATGACAATCAGACTTCAGCATGAGTTTTGCAAAGGACAGGCCACCGTCAAGCCACAGTGGAGGCTGCTCAGAAGCCTGAGATTGGCAGTCTATGTTCACATTCATGCAGACAGCTGTTACCTCTACTGTAGGGTGCTGACACAGAGCTCGCCCTCAACCATAAAACCCACGGTCAGCTGGGCCAATGTCCAGCCAGCATGTGCTCAAATAAATATTCCTGAAAGAACAAATTATTAAAGAAACTGCAGGACACCTGGCAGGTGAGACTATGTACTTCACGTTCACAGCACAGCAGTTGGTGCAAGGTGTTGTGGGTCAGCCAGGGGTGATGCTGGGTGTGACTACTCTGTTAATCAATAGATCAATAGATCTCTGTTATAAAGATCAGTTTCCCCTTTGAATTTGAAAATGATATCGGGGTTGGGTGGAGTGATTTTTTTTAGCATAGGAAATTTATTCAGTTCACCCCCCMAAAAAAATGCATCTAATGCCTTTTACCAAAAGAAGAAATACAAATGGCCAACAAATACATGAAAAAATGTTCACAATATTAGCAATTAGGGAAATGCAAATCAAAACTCTACTGAGATTTCATCTCACATCAGTCTGAATGGCAGTAATCAAGAACACAATAAATGGTGGAAAGGATTTGGAAAAAAGGAACATTTTGACATTGTTGGTGGAACTAACTTACTACAATCACTACAAAAATCAGTATGGAAATTCCTCAAAAGTCTAGACATGGAACCACCATATGATGCAGCTACACCACTCCAAGGTATTTGTCCTAAAAATCAAAGTAATCAAACAACAGTGATACATACCCATGTTTATAGCAGAACAATTCACAATAGCCAAACTATGGAACCAGCCTAGGTGTCCATCAATGGACGAATGGATAAAGAAAGTGTGGTACATATACACAATGGAATTTTATTCAGCCATAAATGAGAATGAAATTACAGCATTTGCAAGAAAATGGATGGAACTAGAGACCATCATGTTAAGCAAAATAATTCAACTCAGAAGATATGTTTTCTCTCATATATGAAAGCTAGAGAGGAAAAAGGAAAACAAAGTTGGGGTAGATGTACTAAAAACCAAAGGGAGATCAATAGAGGAAARGGTTCATGGGGTGGGAGATGGGGAGGGAGGGGGTGTGCTGAGGAGTCGTGTTGGCCAAATTATATTGCTCTATCGTGTGCATGCCCAAATATGTAACAACAAATCTCACCACTGTGTACAACTACAATGCACCAATAATAAAATAAGTGGGAAAAAATATGTATTTAATAAAATCAGAGTTCAGAAAAATAATGAACTTATCTGACAAAAACAGAAAGCTAATTAATAAGAAAACATCCAAAGAAAACAAAGAGCTCTCAAGAAGTAAAAATATGGGCTGGGGATGTGGCTCAAGCGGTAGCGCGCTCGCCTGGCATGCGTGCGGCCCGGGTTCAATCCTCAGCACCACATACAAACAAAGATGTTGTGTCCGCGGAGAACTAAAATAAATAAGTAAATAAATAAATTCTCTCTCTCTCTCTCTCCCCCCCTCTCCTCTCTCTTAAAAAAAAAAAAAGAAGAAGTAAAAATATGATAGGAGAGATGAAAAAAATAATAACAGAGGGAAGAAAAAGCAACAACTTGAGGAAATATCCCAGAAAGTAGAAAAGCCACAGAAAATGGGAGACTGAAGATAATTAGAGGATTAATCCAA